TCACAGCTCTTATCAGTGATGACTTAACAGCTATGCAGGCGCAGCAGTTGCTTGCGTTATTAACGAAACACGCCGATTCTTTCGACACCTGCTCCTCAACGTTGGGCCGAACTACCACTGCAGCGCATCGCATTCAGACGGAGGGAACATCTATTGTACATCGCCGCCCGTACCGCGTGTCTCTCGCTGAGCGAAAAATCATCGAGGAAAACGTCGCTGACATGCTCCAACGAGAAATAATTCGTCCATCAACTAGCCCTTGGTCATCCCCTGTTGTTTTGGTACGGAAAAAAGATGGCTCCGTGCGCTTTTGCGTTGATTACCGGGCACTTAACAACATCACACGCAAGGACGTATACCCCATGCCACGCATCGACGACGCCCTTGATTCACTTCAAGGCGCCGAATACTTTTCAAGCCTTGATTTGCGTTCGGGATATTGGCAAATTCCCATGCACGATGACGACAAAGAAAAAACGGCATTTGCAACCCCCGATGGCCTATACGAATTTAACGTGATGCCTTTCGGGCTCTGCAATGCGCCCGCGACGTTTGAACGCATGATCGACACCGTCCTGCGTGGTCTGAAATGGAAGACGTGTCTCTGCTACCTTGATGACATTATCATCTTTTCATCAACGTTTTCTCAGCACCTGAGCCGCTTGGATGACGTTCTAACATGCCTCGCCGGTGCGGGTCTGCAGCTCAACACTAAGAAGTGCCGTTTCGCCACCAAATCCATCAAGGTTCTCGGTCATGTCGTCAGCAAGGACGGTATTCGCCCTGACCCCGAAAAGATCGCTGCCGTCCTTCGATTTCCATGCCCCACAAGACTTAAGGATTTGCGAAGTTTTCTTGGCCTCGCATCATATTTTCGTCGCTTCATACAAAATTTCGCTTCAATAGCTGCGCCACTTCACAAACTACTTGCATCTAATGCACCATTTGTGTGGTCCGAGGAATGTCAGTCGGCGTTTCACATATTGAAGAAAGCTTTGACGTCAGAGCCTGTACTCTGCCATTTTGATGACACCGCCCCAACACTCCTGCATACCGACGCCAGCGGCTGCGGTATAGGTGCTGTTCTCCTCCAACGCGATAACTCTGGACGGGAAAGGGTCATCGCATATGCTAGCCGAGTGCTAACTTCTACCGAAAAAAACTATACCATCACTGAGCAGGAGTGCCTCGCTGTGGTTTGGTCCATACAAAAGTTCCGTCCTTATCTGTACGGCCTTCAATTCACCATCGTAACGGACCACCACGCCTTGTGCCGGCTTTCTACAATGAAGAACTTGTCCGGACGCTTGGGTCGTTGGATTTTACGCCTACAGGAGTATCAGTTTGAGATTATTTATAAATCGGGCAAAAAACATCAAGACGCCGACGCTCTTTCTCGTTGCCCACGACCTACAGCGTCGTTCGACACTCCAGCTGCCACCTCCAACGACACCAGTGCGGACGTGACTGCCACTTCTGTTGCCTTGCTCGCCTCGCTGTACCAACCGCCAATCGACGATGAACAACCCTTCAGATCTCACCAGCAGGCTGACCCGTATTGTCGGCGCCTTGTAGACCACCTTTCAGGAGCTACGCGTCCACCCAATGCACGCCTTCGTCGACAACTCGAGCACTTCAAGTTTCAGGACGGTGTGCTGTATCGTCACATATATCATCCTGACGGCACACGCTGGGTACCTGTTCTGCCACGCGCTCTTCAAAATCATGTACTTAACGCCTTTCATGACGATTTGACTGCTGGCCACCTAGGCTTTCAAAAAACCTACGACCGCATTCGAAGCCGCTTTTATTGGCCTGGGATTTCTACCAGCGTGGCAAAGTACGTGGGTTCCTGCTCTCCATGCCAACTTCGCAAACTTCCGACATCTCCCCCAGCTGGTCAGTTACAGCCAATGACGTGCCCTACAACACCTTTCGAGGTCGTCGGTGTCGATCTTTATGGACCCCTCCCTGTTACTGGTGCAGGAAATAGATGGATAGTCACCGCCGTAGACCATATGACACGCTACGCCGAGACAACTTCAGTAGCTACTGGTTCAGCATCGGAAGTTGCTGACTTCGTCCTTCAGGCCATAATACTACGTCATGGTGCACCTCGTGTACTTCTGAGTGACCGTGGAAAGGTGTTCTTATCACAGCTTTTAGGTGAAGTTCTTCGCGTTTCTGGTACCACACACAAGATGGCGTCTAGCTACCATCCTCAAACAAATGGTCTGACCGAGAGATTTCATCGAACCCTTGCCGACATGATCGCCGTATACATTCAACCGGATCACAGAAACTGGGATAAACTTCTACCGTTCCTCACTTTCGCCTACAACACCGCTGTTCAGCGCACAACAGGCTACTCACCGTTTTATCTCGTTTACGGACGTTCACCTACTTTCTTTATCGATGTTTCCTTCTTCACCAGCAATGGCCCTACATCACCATCTTCTTGCGAAGAATATATTTCTCGCCTTGCCCAGTGCCGCCAGCGCGCTCGTATGAACACGGAAGCTACGCAACAAGCAAGGAAGGCCGTCTACGACACCTCTCATCGTGTGGTATCATTCCGACCGGGTGACGAGGTGCTGCTATTGACACCAATTCGCACACCTGGTCTCTGCGACAAGTTCCAGCCTCGATTCATCGGCCCATATGTTGTTTTAGAGCAGACTTCACCTGTCAACTATCGTGTGACGCCTCTTGTCGTGCCAACTGACCGCCGTTACCGCAGCACTGAAATTGTACACGTTTCCCGCATGAAGCTTTTCACACGACGTTCCTCGCCACCTTGACTACCCGCCCGCAGCGGCCAGGCTGGCCGCTTCCACGGGGGGGGGGGAATCAGTGTAGGCATCTATTATGCGCTTCATCCTCATCTGAACAGCAGTCAATCATCATCATATGTTCTGGCTGACAATCATCATCTGCTTGCTTGGCACGAGCGCTTCTTTGTCGGGTCCGTTGCGCTTGTTCGTTCCCGAGTTCACGGCCAATAAACCTCGCTACAACCGAGTCGTCATAATATATATATATATATATATATATATATATATATATATATATATATATATATACATATATCGATTCTTCTGTGAATCCAAGTCTTCTGTGAGTCCAGTGATAAATAGAAATCGGCTTGAACGGACAAACGTACGAAAACTTTATTACTCCTACGTTTCGGCCAGGGTCCGGCCCTGATGAGGGCCGGACCCCGGCCGAAACGTAGGAGTAATAAATGTTTTCGTAGATTTGTCTGCTCAAGCCAATTTTATACATATATATACATACATATATATATATATATATATATATATATATATATATATATATATATATATATATATATACATATATATATATATATATATATATATATATATATATATATATATATATATATATATATATATACATATACATATATATATATATATTTTTCCACTTTTCTTTCTTCTTTCTTCTTATTTACATTCCATTGGTTCTAGTAACTTCCCCTGTACATTCCTTGGCATTACTATCTGTTATATCTCATTAATATTGTGTTAAAACACGAAATACGAGCCCTTAGGTATACACTTCTCTCCCTATATATTATATATATATATATATATATATATATATATATATATATATATATATATATAATATATATATATATATATATATATATATATATATATATATATATATATATATATATATATATATATATATATATATATATATATATACATATACTATATATATATATATATATATTGTGATGAGCGACAATATATATATATATATAATATGTTATGTAGGGTTTGAGCATTTTGTCCCTCATGAATACCCCACCAGTCACCCTAGTCTGCAGATTGCTTGCAGAAAGGGTGCAGCTTTTTTGCAGCCTTATACGATAGCCTCCTGCCAGTCTAATTAACAAAGCGTTGAACATTTGGCAAGTGTAAATTGAAATATTTTTGTTTGTAAGGCTAACTCATGGCCACCATATCTTTACGTGTATTCTGTCTACATGCAAATGTAGAATTCGGAAGCATAGCATTTTTTTTTCCAGCACTGAACGACTGGTGCAGATAACATGGCTATATATACAGGGTGGTCGGTGTTAGGTTGTGGAGAGCGAGTGGTCTATGCCTTTGCTATTAACTTAACTGTTGCGGTATGTATTGGGCACGTGTTAGTGGGTGTATGGGTAGTTTCTATCCTTTGACGCTGCATGTTCATAAACCGTTTGTGCTAATGCAAATGGTAGCTGATATTGTTTGCTGATTCGCGACGAAATGCTGTGGGTGTTTTGCAGAAATTTTGCAGAATTTGTTTAGACATTCTGAAAATATTCCGGAGATATTCTGCAGGCATGCTGCATCCTGCTTTGCTACAAATGCTCTGCAGAACGTATGTGCCGTTCACCTACTCGGAGGTGACAGGGGGTGACAGAAAGTTCGTCACTTGTATTCACGCATACCGGGTGACTCATGGTCCGTAGATACTGTGCAGACAGGCTGCAAGTCTTTTTTTGTGAGAGATAGTGGAAGTAAGTGCGGCGACACAGCTTGTGTATTCAGCCTTCTTAAAGAATGAATTAAATAATAATTTAATAATTACTAAGGCAGCTTCGTTCGCCAAGCTTGAAGGAAGTTCGGAGCGTGGCAGCCTTGCACTCTTGTTCTCTATTGCTGTTTTTTGTCTATTTCATTTATTTCATTTCTCCTATGTCTCGCTTGCTTCCTCTTTGAATGCGTGTTTTATGTTGTCATGTTAACCTAGCTGCACCAAGGCACTCGAAAAACAAGATAAGGAAGTTTTTGCTTTAGCGCGCGCCCGTTATGCTATGGAAGTGCTATGCATGGTTTTGCCTTCGTTAAACAAAATGACAACAGCATACAACAACCTGAAGTGCTCTGCTCTCAAAAGCTCCTTACGTGATTAGCATACCAATAAGAGACACATTGTGACATTCTTAAGCACACCACTTAAATGGTTTGCAGGTTGGAAGCAAGCCTGCTTGGCTGCTACCCGCTGTGTCCAAATCGACTTGTCTACCCGGAGATCTACCCTCGTGAGTATTCGTAAACAATGAATTTGAGGCAGTGATAGAAAATTGTTAGTAATGTTGTTTAACTAACGACACGTAGTTACAGATATCCTATATGCCGAGAATTTCAACGTTTATGCTGCGTGAACTACCAAGTGAAAAATGAAGACCAAAGTCGACAGTATGCACTGGTAATGAGTTAAGCACATGAACTAAAACACGTTCATAATATCAAGAAAGTAAGTGGCATGTGCTACGACGGTTTTTCTCAACTAAGAAGCACACAAAAATTACGCGGTTCATCTTGATTCACAGAAAAGAATTTGCCCCTTCGCCTAATTAACTCCTTAACCTCATCAGGATCTCAGCACCTCTTCACACTAATATGAGAAGGGTGGTGGCTCTATTACTTGTTGTCACATGACGGCATGTTAGATTGTGCTAATCTTTTACATGTTGTGTTATGAAAACGGTTTTCTCGAAAGCCGTCCTATGGTAATGCTGCTGAATAGCTAGGTAATATAGGAATAATATCGGGGGTTTTGCATCCCAAACCACGATATGATTATGAGAGACACCGTAGCAGAGGGCTCTGAAAACTTTGACCCTCTGGTGTTTATCACCATGCACTGACATCGCACAGTACACGGCATCGAGAATTTCGCCTCCATTGAAATGCCATCACCGCGGTCAAAATCGAACTCGCGACCTTTGGTTCAGCAGCTGAGCACCATAACCACTGCTCTATCGTGGTGGACAGTGTATAGCAAGGTGTCATTGTGCGGAAACCTCAAACTTGAAGTGGTTTATAGCCCGAGACTCAAAGGTCTTACACACATGATTGCAGGTAAAGTATAGGCCTGATTCTAAGAATCAAATAGAATGAGACTATTGGATGTCCGCTCACGGTGACAATCAAGTGGTTTAGATAACAATTAGAAAGAACACTTTAATCCCCAAGTGGGCAGCTTTTAGTTGGCACTCAAGAAATACAAGTCAGTCATCAGGAAATCTTAACAGTCGCTTCACAATGCTGTCTTGAAGGAACTTGTTTAACACTCTGATGCACATGGCCCCTGTCAGGGGTTGCTGCACATGACACAACCGTAATGGATAACAAAACTGATGTAATGATAATTCAAACAGATTACATGACTGCTTCTCTCGCGAGCACATTTTCCTTCTCTGAACGCCAGACCTCACGTAACTTCTCCTCCTCTAGGCTCGCAAGCCGTGTGCACTTGATGCTTCCCTGACTTTACAAAGGTAGGTGGCGATTTACAAAGATAGGTCTCTCAGCTAACACGGCCGGGTCTTTCAATCTGTTGCATTTTCGCAGTGGTCGAGAATGTCAGTAACATAGTCTGCCAACAATCGCGGCGGTTTCTTGCGGCGTGGCTAGTCGTCAGCTGTTCGGGGTGGCATCTGCTCCACCTCACTTAGCGGCGTTTGTGGAGTGTATCACTTTGTAGCTGGAACGTCAGGCTCGTCGCAGTCTGTGGCTGTTTTGTCACTTGTCTGTGACTGTGTCGACTTGATGTTAGTTTGACTGGATTACACGAGGAAAGGCTTTAATTGTCGGACTGTTGGAAGCCTAGTCTCTGCAGTTCCTTTCTTTGGAGATTGTGTACATCTCTTTCTCCAATTCTGTTATCGTGTAGGGTCTGTCGCACATTGGCCCTAGTTTTGTTGGTCGTGAGCCTTTGTGTTACCATACTTCATCACCTACGCTAAAATATGGCGGTCTGTGCTTGGCGTCGTACTTGCGCTTGAGCTCTTGTAGCTAGTCTGTTAGCGTGTTTCATGCTTCTTCATGTCTTGCTTCTGGGGAATGTATTTGGACAGCAGTTGAAATGGTGACGTTTCTAGACCAATGTGCGGCTAGTTGTTCACCTGAAACATTTCTCGAAAGTATTAGCTTCAGTGGTCCATGTTGCCGTTGAGGTTCTTTCGGAGTACCGACAATATTTTTGCATTCGCGCGTTCAACAAGACCGCTCTTTTCGGGCGCGTAAGGTACGGTCAAACAGGGATCGATGCTCTTCTTTGTGAAATAGGGTGTAGCAGCTCGTGAACTGAAGACTCTGTCATTGTCTGTGACCACAGTTTTTGGCATTCCAAATATCAATACAATGTCTTCATCGAGGAAGTGCAGAACGTGTTCTGCTGACTTGTCTGGTATGGCACGTGCGATGATGAATCTCGTTGCGACATGGACCATCGTTATGAAGTACTTGTTGGGGTCCTTGGCATAAATTGGACCAATGTGGTTCATAGCAATGGTGTCGAACGATGCCTGCATTGGCATGCATGGTTCAGCGAGCCGGTTTGCACTCCTGTCCTGGCGTTATAGCTTTGACACGCTTGACATCCACGCACTTAATCTTCAACGTCACGTTTCATGTCACGCCAAATGTAACGTTGCTCGATTTTTCGGAATGTTCGAGAGGTATCGCCATGACCGTCTTCGTTGTGGTACGACGTCAAAACTGACTGTTTTAGGCTTTTTGGCACCACGATGCAGTGTTTCTCTCAGTCTTCGTCGGTGGCGACGTAAACAAGTCTGCCCTGCACCATCCTGTAGGGGGTCGACCTTGGTGCTCTCTTTGTTTCGTCGATGATCGGGACAAGTGTGGGGTCGTCTTTTTGCGCTCTGCCAAGTCGGTCGTATTCAGCCTTCAGAACGAACACATTGTGTGTGTTTTCTGGGGCTAGTGACAACGTGTGTGCGATGACATTTGTCTTTCCCTATGTGTGTCGAATCATGAAGTTGTATCACATTAGGTCGAGCACGATCCATGCAAATCACCTTTGTGGATGCTTCTTCGACATGATATGCCTTACTGCCCAGTTGTCAGTGTGAATTTGGAAATGTTGAAAATTTTGGAGATATTGGTGAAATTGGCTGGTGATGGCTCAGTGCACTGCGATCGCCTCTAAATCTGTCGAGTGCTTGTGCCTGTCCAGTCGGGCACCTTCTTGCTTGCGTATTCCACGATGGGCGTTTCGTCTACATGTCTTTGAGAAAGGACAGCACCAAATGCGGTGTATGATGCGTCAATGTGAACTTGTGCTGGAAGTGCTAGGTCAAAATTCATGAGTATTGCTGTTTCAGTCAGTTGCTTTTTCAGCAGATTCATAGCTGACTGGCATTCGGCAGTCCACGTTAGAAGTGCATCCTTCTTCATTAGCTTCATTCGTGGCTGCACAATCTTCCTGTAGTCCTTGATGTACTTTATGTAGTGAGATGTCAGCCCTAGAAATGATCGCACCTCTGTCTTGGAGCAGTTGCCCATAGTTCTTTATAGCACTCGTCTGTCTTGGCTCGATGGCCACTCTGCCTCTCGAAATTATGTACCCCAGAAAGCTCATATAGTCAGCAGCAAAAGTGCATTTTCTGAAGTCCACTCATAGGTTCAGGTTTGTCAATGTCTTCAAAACATCGTTCATGGTTCTGATGTGCCGCTCAGTGTCATTCCTGAATGTGCATATATCATCCATATACACATTGACAGTTTCTACTGCCAATGAGTGGTTTCAGTCCATCATCCATAATGTTTTGCATGGTTGAAGGAGCTGTGCACAATCCGAAGATCATACGTGTTGGCTCATAGTGTCCATCTTCATTTATAAACGCTGCTGTCTCATTGTCACTTTCATGTATTGGCACATTGAAAAAGGCCTTTTTCATTTCAAGTTCTGAGAAAAGTCGTGAATCTGACACTTTGCGGAGTAGTCTGTCAATTTGCGGCATGGGGTAGGCACGATTGGTCGTCTTCGCATTCACGAAAAAATAGTCGACACAGATTCTTTTTGGAGTCGATTAGTGGTGAGGCTGGTCCACAACAATAACAGGCGAGGAATATGCAGACTTTGACTTGCGAATGATGCCTCTTTTCAGCCAGTCCTCTGTTTCCTCTATTATTAAGTTTCTGTTCACTACACTTATTGTATATGGTTGCAGTGAGTTGGTGTGTTGTGATTGAGGTCAATCGTGTGCTCGGCATGCGTGCAGAGACCCAATTCATTGCCACGGTTTGTAAAAACATGGATGTTTTCACTAAGTAAGGATCTCATTTTTCCTGTTTTTTCTGTGTTGAAGTTTGCCGGTTTCACTTGTTCGATTTTGCGATGCACTTCCTGCAATGCTATAAAACTAGGCTAACCTTGCTTTGAGGAGCTGTTCAGTGTGGCAGCTACAAACGTTACATCGATTTCTTCCTTGTCATCCTTGTTTGCTTGCTGTGGCGGGATGTTTTTTAGATGTTCCATTTTTAACATTTTCGGTGGATTGCTTTTCGGTATCCACTCGAGCGTGTGTGTTCTATCTGTGTATCATTCGATGTAGTGGAATGCAACACATTCTCACCAATCGGTCCCTAAGATGGCATCATGTGGCAAGTCGTTAACTACTTTCACACCTATGATTAGGCTCGCATTCTCAATAGCGATGTGTCCTTGAGTTGCTCCTATGGGAGTCGTTAAGTCTCCGAATGCTCCTTTGAGTACGCAGTCTGTGTTAGGCACAACATCAAAATTATGTTGTTCTGTAATCACTGTCGAAACAAGAGTTGCAGTAGATCCTGTGTCCCATAGCGCTAGTGTCTTCATAGGCACGAGAATGATCCTGTCTTGCGTGCGCATCTTCACGATGCAATGAGTGCATTGTTCTCGCACTGCTCTTTCTTCTCTTTGTTTTGCAGCGGCTGCTTTCTCCTCTTCGATGCGTGTATCAGGTTCGGTGCAGTCTTTCGGGCGGTGCCCGCATTGTAAGCAGCGAGCGCATGTGTCGGCGGAGGTTTGCCTGGGCTTGCTTAGTTGAGTGTCATCCTTCGATGTGCTTTTTGCTGTCTTGACCCGCTTACTGCTGTCACATGGGGATGGCTTCACCCTTGTGGTTTTGCCTCTCGTCGGTGTCGTGCGTCTGTTGAACTGTCACCCGTAGCTGATGAAGTCCGACAAGCTTCCTTTTCGTAAGTCCTGAAAAGCCATGAGCATGGGTTTCGCGTTGTTCAATTGAGTGCC